ACCACAACGACACAAAAAAACCAACGAGTGCTTATACCAAAGTAGATCTATGCCCTCTCATTGTAAACTGTTTGTTGGTTTGTCTGTCTATTTGTTTGTTTGTTTGTTTTTGTTCCTCATTATCAGTATGTTGTTCTCATGCACTACAAAACGAATGTAAACAAACTGGTATCATATCAATTTAGTTATCATTCAAGACGTCTCAGGACTGTCCACATGAAGACATCACAATTTCGGAAAAGAATCTTACGATAACGCAATATTGAAGTCAAGTGCCTTCACGTCAAGTGGAATATAAAAAAAGAAGCTTACCAACTCGACAAGAGTCTTAACGGGCGATCACTATTTATGATAATTTATTCATTGCAAACATTACTGAAGGCAGCCATGCCTGTCGAACTTTGTCTAAATTAGAACAATGTGCTCGGCTTGTAAATTGCACTAGGCATTAAAAAAACTGAGAGTAAATCTCTTATGAGCATATAGATCTATATATTCAAATTGCTATAAAAATATTTCTTTCGCTTCAACATCAGTTTAAAAAGAATAACTGAGTCATGTTAGCTAAATATTTTGTCAATTCCCACAGTAGTACGAAGAGACAGTTTTGGATTTGTAGTGAATTCATTGTATGCATGCACATGTGTATATTTTTATGAAATCTTTCACCATTTCTATGTGGACAGGTGGAGGCTGAAAGTGAATGGCCGGATTTTACGCCCCTCCACCCCCCCTCCACCCACCCAACCCCCCAACTTTCATTCAATAAGTGTAAAATTGGAATTTAGGTAATGGCGCAATTCCTTAGGGGATTTTTCCGATAAACAAAAGAAACAATGATGGGGGAAGGAACATCATCGGTGCACCGAAACCAAGACACAGCAGCGGCTCTGCAGGACTGCCTGAACAAGGGCTACACGGATACCGCAGTCGTCCGGAGACACTCTTTTAACGTGACGAGTACAGAAACCAAAACCAATGACGACCAAATAAAAGACAACCTCAAGCATTCTCAAAAGCAGCAGCAGCAGCAACAGCAGCAGCAGAAACGGCAACAGCAGCAGCAGCAGCAGACAACGACGGAAGTGACGCCAAAGATGACGAAGAAAACCAGCGTCATCTCAGCGCCAAGCAAGTGGACAGATTCGTTTGGCCTTAGCAGAAAACTTTCCAAGGGAATACAAAAGTACAAGGTGAGCGGAATTCATGTAGCAAAAAACCTTGCATCAATGGCCCCTGTTGGTACCTGTAACAAATAACATGGAGCTCATGAGACAGACTCACGAGGGCGGGGGATGGAGAGATAGGTGCTCGGCATAATGTTGACAGTCAGTGTACTATTCTTCTTCTTCTTCTTCTTCTTCTTCTTCTCCTTCTTCTTCTTCTTTTTCTTCTTTTTCTTCTTCTACTTCTTCTTTTTCTCCCTTTTCAGCTTCTTCTTCTTCTTTTTATTCTTCTCATAATCATGTTCCTTCTCCTCAGTTTCCCCTCCTCCTTCTCCCCTCCTCCATCTCTTTTCCTCTCTCTCTTTCCCCATCTTCTCAACCTTTCTTCCTCATTTAGGTCCCTCGTCCCCACCCTTAAATGTAGACTCCAGAGACAGGCTTCAGTAGCTTGTTTTATGAAGATGAAGGATAGTTAACATTCTAAACACAATCCCCATAAATATGAATATAATACTACAAACTTCCATACATTTTGGGTGTCCACGCACGTGCAACCAACCCAGCCATTTGGTTTGAAACCTATGTTATTTCTCTAAAATTAGAGAGTAAAGATGCAAAACACCCAGTCAGTAGGAATAAGACATGAAATATGCCACTTGGGAAAGGGATAACCAAAAGTAAAACAGGATATTTTCAGACATAACTAAAATTGCCAGCCACCCACCTAATTGGCTCAAATAGGCTGGAAGTGAAACAGTTGATTTTCAAAACTTCAAAATGGAAAACCGTGATTTTGTTTCGTTTCGTTTTTTCCAAGTACGTTATTAAGTTCTCAGGCCTACAAAGTCAGACAAGAGATTACGTGTGAATGCGAACAAGTAATGTAGATCTTTCTAGATGATGTCGTGTCACCAAGCGGTGGCAAAAGGCGCTCGTTAATTGTTGGACATATGAAGTCATTGGTATAATCTTAAACTTAAAGCGAGTTCTTCCGCCTAGCCTTTCTTCTTTTTTTAAAAATACCTGTACCTGTCTTGAACAGAGGCCGTGATTTTCGCGTTTGAATGAGGTGGGGTCGCCTGGTGACAGAAGTGAAATTAGTGGGATAATGGTTGCTAAACTTTGGTGATTTCTAAAGACTGATAGTAGTGATAGTCCTTTGAAACTGCAAATGTATATTTTGTGCGCCTTTGATCCGTTTTCCAACAAAATTCACACAGAAGTGTGTTTTTAAATTTGCATAAAAGGTGTTCAGCCCAAATTTTAGATAAAAAACATTGATGAAAAATTGCCCATCAGGTAGAAAAATGCCGAGTTCTTCAGTTTCATAACTTTGACGAGTGCATGATTTCCCCACGATGGCATTCACATAACTCTCACACACTGCAAGTGTCAAGCTGTATGACACAGTGGTGAGGTCAAACGTGCCGATGTAGTTAAAGCTATGTAGAGGACACTGATGAATGTTGTAATTAAAGCTATTTAGAGAAGAATTCCAACAAAGGAAACATATGAATGTGATGGTGTAGATGTCGTGGCTGAAGTTTTACGCCCTCATCGACAATAAACATCATTTAAGTAGCGGACTGCTTCGATTCTGCCTGTCAGGACCAAGCCCGGCTGAGAGGGATACAAGTCCCAACAGAGTAATTGAGATAATTAACGCTAAAACATCCAATAATTACTTACAAGTCACAACAACGAACAAAATTACATTTGCATGTTAAGCAGGACTGTTGTTGGCGTGGTGCACGGTGTTTGATAAGAATCACAAATTCCTGATTGCGGAATCTAGGACAGTCCAAGGTCATTCGGGACAGTTGGCAACCATGAAATTCTCCCCCATGAGAATTGAAATCACGTTTCCTGCCAGCGTTGGCGAAGTGCCTAACCATCGAACCTCTACAACGCAGACGCAAGTGAACACAGAAGAAAACCGAAATAAAAGCAACAGCATTAACTCTCCCGGGAATAAGTAAATTTCATATCACCCCACCCCTTTAAATTCCCATTCCTAATATTAATATATAGATATATGTA